TTCGCAATAACTTTATTCATGTAAGAARTGGCTTATTGCTAGACATTGTATTGTGAGCCTTAATTTCTGGTATGTGYACATGGTGATTGCACATTGGAGCTGTTATGGTATCACTCACTTCCCCGTTCCTTTCAGTGACCCAGAGAGCAAGGAACAACCGAGGATGAAGTGTCAACAAGGACCTCCTGCAGTCCATGTAATCGGGACAGGGAGGAACAGAGGAGCACAGGAGTAAACACAAATAGGAGCTCAGCAGGAAATACTGCATTTGAGTGATACAAAGAGAAAAAATTACAAGAAGTGTCTTAAGAGCAATATCCAGACCATGTTTTTTCAAGATGGATGCTGGCAGCTAGAGGAGCAACTAGTAGCATAGGGAAGTGTGATGAGCTGRCCTAAGGCAAAGCTGAGATAAAAGCATCAGAAAGATTTGATTTTCATGGAGAAAATTTAAGGATGGAAACAGTCAAATTCTAATTCTTCTCTTTCTGATTTTCATTCTTTGAACTATTCCAGTAGTATTCCATGAAACAAGCTAWGTCCCTTCTAGTTGTTGAATATGAGAGGGAAAAAATAGATCTGTAGTTTCCAGAAGTTATACACCTTTAACTGTCCATGAAGGAAGGGAGAAAGGAATTTTTTTGTCTCTAAGAAGTTCCCTAAGAACTGGTAACAAACTAGATCCTTGAAACCATCTGCAACATAGCTGTAGGTAGAAAGCTGCTTTTAGGCAGGTAAAGAAAAAGAGTAGTCTATTAAGACTCTAGCTGATCAAACTAATCAGCAGAAGCTATTTTTTTTTCCTGTTTTATAATATTGTATTTATAATATAAATATCACCTGTTTTTTGTTTCATTGTGCCCATAAGCATTTAAAGGCAAGAACAATTATTGCGGTCCCATGTTTAAGAAACACCAAGCAGAATGACAGTTCTGATCCAAACTTAGTCTTCATTGCATGCTCCACTAATGTAATTTCATATGACTTGCTAAAAAAAAATAGAGATGAAAGAAACACCATGCTATCTTCCTGTGGGACTATCTTGCAGAGATTCAAGAAATATTGTGTGCTTTTCAGCTCTCCAGAATTTACAGCTAGCATATATGTTTCTAGCATTTCCTTCTGACTGCCTTAATAAAAACAAACAAATAAATAAATAATGAAAACCCTTATTTTATCATTGAGTGAGTGTTTATCCTTGGGTGACAGTTTAACAGAAAGTGCTAAAGGCTGTTAAAGCATGAAGCACCTGTAGGACTTGTTTAAAGTGCCTTGTGCATCTGTCTTGGCACCGAGCTAACAAAAGCTTTGGTGTTTCATGACAGTCACAGTAAAGCACTGCTGAGTGGCTAGCTTATTAGGCTAATTTTTTGTTTTCCTACTCAATTTTTATTGCCTTTTGTTTGTAGTTAAATGCGGCATACATAGAATTTTATGCTTGTTTCAGATTTAATTATGAAGCTATGCTTTGGCGCCATAACAAAGTGGAATACTTTTTCTTAGGAAGATCTTTCAGGTGTTAAATCTTTGTCTCGTGGTATAAAAACAGATGTGTGTGGCACTGCTTCTGCTCCTTTCTGAAACTTTCACTCTCCTGTGGTAAATGTAAACATTGCAGCCAACTGAGTCACACCTCTGATATCCGCGGTAAAAACAGTTAGGAACTAAAATTCTTTGAGATCACAGAGCCAAAACATGTCRACTGAGAAGGATTCTTAACAAAATATGGTTATGTTGGAGCCAGGAAGACTCTAAAGGATAGCATCCTAGCACATTCCCCTCACAGTAAAGCATCTGTCTCAAAAACAACTCTACAGTATTTTAGAGCTATGAGGCTGCGTTGAAAATAGTTGTTTTCCTAATGGAAATATGCTTAGCTTAACTGCATAGTTTGTCTAGCTAAATATAGGCCAGCACCCAAATGGAAAAAAATACCAAAAAGAACTGTGAGGCATGCCCCCGAWCCGGCTTTGGAGGCCAAGGGCTGGCAGCAGGACTGATGAAGTATTTCCATGGAGGCCGTTGCCACCACCATGAGTATGCAGGATGCCAGGTTTAAAAGGCCAGAAGGAGAAAAGGGTTTCATCTGGCCGCCTGGAGGCTTATGGAGGAGGCAGAGGCAGCACAAATGCTTTTGTGAGGCAGAAGATAGTGCTGAGCCCTCAGGAGAAATATCTGAGCCTGTGAGACAGATCAAAGCTGTGGCTGAATAGATCAAAGTTCTCAAAAATAAATGTACGTGCACGGCAAGCTGCCTAGTTAGCTTGAATGAAAGCCATTTCTGAACAATACTTTCCTTGCATATCAGATCAGACGACAAAGCGTGCGGTGTTTAGAACGGAGCACTGTGAGATGCCACTAGTAAAACTCGGACTTTCACCGTTATTTCGTTCCCCATCTATAAGAAATAAAATACAGACCTGACAGAACTAAAGCACAGAAAAGAATTAATAAGAGGGTTTTTTTTTCAACATGGCTCATATTCCAGGTGGTACAGAGGATGATAAATTGAGAGAGGCCTGACTGAGACACGTGGAGAAATTCAGATTTTCTGAAAATCCTCTCATCCTGCCTTTAGCTGGGCACTTTGAATTGCTGGTCAGTTATTAGAGCCTGGGCTGAATTATCCTTTGGTGAAATCCATTAGCTTCAGGCAGAGAGGCAGTGGAAAATTCCACCCTTCCCTCTCTCCTTGGTCCAATGAAAATTTATTAATTGTACAAAGTGGAAGGCTTCTGACAAGATATTGGCTGTTCAGCCCAGTGCTCCAGACAGTCCTTTAAAACYTGGAAACTCAAAGTTATGTCTTTTGTGTGACTTGGACCTTGAGCTTGCAGTTCCCCAAGAGAGCATTCAWAACCATGACCTATGATGGAGTTGTATGTTTCCCCCACAGCTTTCGCCAGGATTTTCATCCTGGGTCTGAGGACTGTTCCTCTATAAAGGTGTCATAGAAACAGCTGCACTTGCTATCATTGAAAAAAGGAGGGAGAGAAGAAGGAGAGAAGAAGGGAGAGGAGATAAAGGGAAGGGGAAGGGAAAGAGGAAGGGGAAGGGGAAATGGGAGGGAGAAGGATTTCGACTGAATGACACAACACCTGCTGAAAAAATACTTTCCTCCAGGAATTCCAGTTTTCTCTAATATGAATCCATCCAAAATCAAATGTTTACAGAGCATTAGGACTGGAGCTGCAAAAAGCGAATAATACGGGTTCATGCTAGTGAGTCTGTAGCTAAGCTATAGCCTACAAACACCTCTACATGGGGTCCCAGCAAGAAGCACAGGTCAGAAGGACCAGTAAGTTTCTCATAACCACAACAGCAGGTGTAAGTTCAGAGTTTCACCTGAGCACCCACGAGTGCAGAAACCATGATAAACATATTGTTTAGTTTAGGGGRCAGGCAGGTAAATTTGAAAAGTTGTAAGTTTGAAAGCTCTTCATGTTATGAATAGTGTTCTTCCAGTGTGTCCCCTGTAATGTTCCTTTTGCTGGTGAATGAAACTTTCAAAACTAATGAACAGTCACTTTAGAGGCATGATTTTTATGCCTCAATATGGAGTATATATATATATATATATATATACAGCCCTTTATGTAGAGGTATTCAACTTCCAACTTGGAGAAAAGATAATTTCACAAACCATAATAGTTGAGTGTTCCTGTGGGGAGGGGAAAAATCTGGCTGTTTCTCAAAATGGAAATTCTGGGAGTTGCTTTTGTGCTAAGAAAAAGGTATATAATATGTTCAGGGACAGCAGTCAGAAGTGCATACAGGGAACRCGCAGCAGGGAAAAGCAGTGAAAGTCTCTGGGGGGCCTGTGCCCYAGGCTCTGGGTGTCCCTGCTAGAGCAGGGGGGTTGGACTAGAGGATCTCTAGAGGTCCCTTCCAAACTCAACCATTCTGTGATTACTAGTGTGGCATGTACAACTTAGGTATTTTTATTTTTTAAGGATCTTGAAAAAATGATGAAAGGGAGAGAAAGAATATCAGAAYATATTCAGGTGCTAGATAAAATGCTTTTCACTAAAGAAGATAAAATGCTGAGACTGTTTACCGTACAAAGAGATGCTTGAGAAGTAAGTGATTAACAGTAAATCAGCTTTCTCAAAGGTATTTGATTCTCTGGGCTGACCAATCTCATAGAGAAAGACTGTACAGAGAGCTACGACAAATACTGGAAGCCAATTTAATCTTAGAAATAAGGCCTTTTTTTAAACTGAGATTTGTTAACATAAGGTTTGGAAGGAAAGGAAGTGATGAAATAGTGAAKATCTTCCTGGAGAATTTACCTTTGGGCATGAGTACCTACTATTAGATTTAGTGGGATATATGAAAACAGAATAAACAGAATAAAAAAAACCCAGAAGTTTAGACAATTTATCCTCTCAAGATCCTTTCCAGGCTGAATTCTCTGTTACCAGACAGTTCCTCAGTTTTAAAAGTTATACATCTATTTTTTGAGGACAAAAAATAAGGGGGAAATACCTGACTGGATCRGTCTCTATCTCCTTGTTTTACATTTATCTGCATTACATACGGCAAATGCACTGTATATTAACCACTGGTTTTCCTGAAACTTACTGAACTTCACAGTGAAGCTCCAGGGCTTGTCTGTTCACAGAATRTCCTGCCACATAACCCCAAACTTACACTGAGCATCGTACATTCTTTTTTTTTTCTGAATCACTGCAATGAGAATAGCATTTTAACTGACCCGAGTCTCTCTTCCTTTTACACCGACTGTCCAAATACAAAATGTGAGCTATCGCTGTCCCTCTCCCAAGGGAAACATACTGCCTTTCAGCACTTCTCTCCCTGAGCCTTCCTCCTATCCTTTGTACACACATTCATGCTCTGCTGCTCTCCCTATGCATCTCTCTCTCTCTCTCTCTCTCTGTGCTGTTGCTGAACTGCAGCTCCCACCAGCATTTGCAGCATCAAAGCCAGCTCGCATCTGAAACCAGCAGTGAATCACATCACCTGAAGAAGAAGAACAGAAAACTGAGCTCCCCAGCCTCACTGCATGCAAAGCGTGAGGTGCCAGCAGCACCCACCGTAGGGAAGGACTGGGCTGTATGCAAGACCTGGTTAGTCTGAGATCTGCTGCCTGTGATTTGAAAGCTGTCACTGGGATTTTTTAGGAGTGTGTGCATTTAGAGGATGTTTTTTGRGAAGATAATAGCCTGCTGCAAGTGAGAGCTGGGAAAAGCTGTCTCTCGCTGCTGCTGCTGCTGCAGTAGCTGGTGCAGCATGAGTGTGTAAAGGAGAGCTGCCGGAGCYGTGCTGTGAGACTCCCGTCCTGCTCTGTCTTCATTAACTGGAGGGATACAGAGGGAAACAGATGCACTAAGCAAGTGCCACACTGGATCTATTACTGTGCTCTCTTCACTGTGGAAAATGGTCAACAAAGACATGAATGGATTTCCAGTCAAGAAGTGCTCAGCCTTTCAGTTTTTTAAAAAAAGGGTAAGGTTTTTCTTTAATTATTTCTTTCTAATTACTTTCTACTTTTCTTTTTTTTTTTTTTTTGCTGATGTGCCACAGCGGAGAGTAAAGCCATTGAGGAAGGAAGGGGCTTTAATACGAGTCTTCCATAAAGATCCTCCTGTGCCGGCAGCTCTGGCTAACGCCAAGGGCACAGGCATGTCTGGGAAGGGGAACGGGGAGGGGGCCGGGGCAGAGGGACTGCACAGCATTACGTAATCCCCCTTTGCTGGGAAATGTGCATTTCAGTCGTAGCTGGCCGCAGGGCTTGACGCAACACAGCCGGCTATTTGGGAACACTCTCCAAAGCAGAGCGTGGGTTCGTTGCAGCTTGCCCTGTTCTCCACATCCACRCAGGGGCATGACTCGCTCCACACCTTTCCCTCGCTCGCCTGAAGTGCGGCGTTACCCACCTGCATTCATCATCTGGCAGAAAAAAACAGAGCACTGAGAGGCATTTGTGAGCTCAGCAGAATGCTTCATGGCTTGTAATTTGCCTGTAATCACAGTTAATGCAGGAGGAAGGAGTAAGAATAAGGTCCACCTTATTTTGCTTTTTTTTATGTTCCTTAATTTAGACAGAAATGACAGAATTTGAAAAAAAAAATGCTATGTGTTGTATTTGACTGCTGATTTTCATTAAAAAAGTGTACGTGAAACACTGCCTCAATACAATAGCTGAGTTTGTTCTCTGACTGTTTAACAGCAATCATGCTGAACACACTCCACTGAACTTGAGCAACAAAGTCATTTCCATGTGACAGCAAGACAGATATTCTGAATACACCTGGGTAGCAGAGCATCTGAGAGAGACTGGTAGCAAGGACTCTCTTATGGAAAGGATTTCCTCTAAGATTAAAATGACAGTCCTCTCTTTAAGCAGACTGAAGTAGGAACAGATAAGCTGCTCCATTCACTCCCTCACTCATTCATTCATTCATTCCTCCCATTCATTCTCTTTCTGTGTTATGCCAAGAATATGGACATTCTGCTTAACCCTTCAGGTAAAAGGAAGTGAAGCCAATGGCAGATGCTGGTATATAAGATGCAGAGGTAAGAGCTTCTGGGCATCAAAATGCCAAATTTAAGAGCAGATCCAAAAAAACACCACAAGTTGGCTGATTCAGAGAGGGAAAAAAAAAATGTTGTCTTTGCTGACATTTGTTGTTGCTTTGGAGGTGGATGGTGAAAGCGTCAGGTAGAAATGGAAGCCTAGACAGCACTCAGACACGGACCATAAACTTGGGAGTTCTGGTCCAGGCAGCTTCTAATTCAAGTTTATTACTTTTAGTACATGTAGGCTTGATACACTGTTCACCAGAAAGGTTTATCTGGTTTTTAAAACTGCTCAAAGGTTTAAAGACAAACTTCTTATTAAAGAGGAAACAAAATGACTTGCAATTCCTGTATGAGGTTAATTATTGGCAGAGGATTTCTATCTCAATTAATGCTAAGACAAGTTATTGCAGGAAGGCTCTACATAATTTTGTTCCAAAAGCAGGGGAAGATGTTTTTTGTTAAAACTATTCTGGTTATCAGTGAATATCTCTTTGGAAAACACTATCAGCTGTAGTTGTACTTGAATAAACTACCATAGTAAACTTGAATAAACTACCATAGTCCTGTACAGTGGATGAGGAGAAATAGCCATTTTTTTTTTAGTTTCTAGGGATTTCTTTTATTAGATGCTCCCTTTTGCTATTGTCATGAAGACAGATGAGATCAGTGAAATCAGTTTAGAGACACAAAGATAGGAAATTCCCTCTCTATGCATTTTGTCAATAGATAAATATGTTCATTGATGTTTTTGCTCTTTCCATTATCTTCTTCCTAGAAAATCCTCTGTATCCAAAGATTAACCACATTGTTCCTACACTGGTGCCTGCAATGTGTACAAACAAGAAAAGCTTCACATTCCAAATGTGCAACTGGCTTCCAGCATAGTATCCTGCATATACTGGACTGATGATGTGCTGCATTCTTTGAGGCTAGGGAAGGATGGATACGACTGTCAGTTTAGCCCCTATCAATGCTCTGGACACTCTGTCTGAACAACCACCAAAATCTTGCATCCAGAGAAGCATAGCTGCTAGGTTTCTTGATTCAAATCTTATCTGGGATTTTATTTGTGGATAGTCCAGTTTATTTATTTGGACTATTTTCATCACAGCAACACCAGAATGTCATAACCACCACAAACAACCAAATGTATACATCCTGTATCATTCATAAAGAGGGAGATCTTGGCCAGAGGAGCTTAATAGTTATGAATTTGGGGATGAGCTACTGTTGTCTCTGTTTTCCTGACAGGGGACTGAAACCCAGAGAAGCAGATTCATTTTGCAGGTACTCTGTGCAGCTTTCCCTAGGTCACGTGCTGTGATGAGGCAAGGGATGGGAACCCGTTTATTATTCCCTGTGTTTGTCTCTTGAAAAAACTCACATTTCTGGCAGAGATGATTTCTAGCCTGATTCTAAAAAACTACATCAATCTGGATTAGAACATTGCAGTTTTTAGGGAATGTTATTTTTCCACTAGATTAGATTTGTTTGGGAGAAAGAACCAGATGTATCTTCACTGTTTTCATTTTCCATAGAGCCTTCTGTTTTCATTAAGGTGCAGTCTTTGTTGCTCTGGTCAAGAGTGCAGAAAGGACTGGCAGAGAGAGCTCTGTGGATTTTGGCTGGGCTGAAAGTGCTTTCAACCACTGACTTGCATTTCAGACCCCCCTTTTTTTTTTTTTTAAGCCTGGTTTACTCTCTGATGACAAAGCACTGACTCTCTGGGATGATGCCTGCTTTGTCAGATGATTCAGAGTATGGGCTAATCATATCCAGAGGTCCGAGGTTAGGAAGGAAAAGATGGAATTATAAAGCAATACATCTGACAGAAATAAAAGGAAAAATAAGAACTATTGCAATGGAGATAACGTCTCCATAAATCAGTGCTGAGGGGGCTGGAACAAACAGGTAGGGGCTCTATCCACTTGAAACCTGCTGAGTTTAGAGGAAAAACAGTGACTTTTTTTTTTATATCAAGAAGCAGAACAGTTACAACTGGGATCAGGATCATATGTTAATATTGAGATATTGTTTTTAGTAATGATGGCACAGAAAGCTAAGAGGAGAAGGGGAAGGAAGAGAGGATCATGGGCATTTATAGGCACAAGGAGAAAATCTAAAGTGACTTCAATAGAGATAATTCATGAAAGTTGTTGTTTGCATAATCTTGGATCATGGCATAAAAGGGTAGACACCACTGCCAGTCAGGCAGCAGGTCTCCCTGGCGTGGAACCAGTCACCATTCCTGCAAGATCATTTCAAGAGATTAAGTTTGAGGTATTTGCCCTCTTATTCCTATCAGTGACTTTTGGATAGCATTTTGCAATATGTGACCTCCTTCAAATTGAAATAGCCTACTGTGTTGTATAACACATGAAAACCAAAATGGTTAAAATGAGGGGAATGATGAATTAATTGCCTGTGCTACTTAGATTGAGGTTGATGATATGGTAATCTGGAAATTTATTGTCCTCTCAGGTGTAGACCAAGAGCAAATACAAGAGTTCTTCTTTTTCAAAAACAATAAAATAAAAAAAGGCAGAAAAATAATGTCAGTGAATGTCTTTTTGGGAAAGTTTATTGCAGGGATTCAGGATTTGCTAATATGAAACTCAATAAGGGAAAGAATATACATAATCCCTTTTCACTGAGAAAATTTGCATTAATTAGCAATTTAGGTCAAGCTAAAGTGAACATGCAAAAGAAGAAGAGAAAACCCCTATCTTTGTTTCTAGGCAGTTTTTCCAGTTGCATAGTTTGTGGAAACTGTGCTCTTCTTTCAAGGCAGGCATTTTAGGTCACTATGGACCAGCAGCTTTTTCCATATGCAAGCTGAAAAGGCTGAAATGTCATCAAACATGAAGATCAGCCTCTTTTAAAGCTTAAGACAGTGAGAAGATGAGAGGACTGCATGATTACCTGTATAGTATTAGAAGATTGTACTAATTTAGCAATACAGAAATTTTTAACTGACCTCATATGGATTATAATCTTTCTGGTAGATTTTGCTTGGGCACCCTGTTCTCTGCTCTGCCGCTTTTGCAGATGAGAAGTCTATTTAAGAACTAGAATTTTGCTGTTTTGGGGGGGTAATGGAGAGTCTACCTGGAAGAAAATAAATGAGATTTGAAGCTGACTGTACCCTAGGAAAATACTAGCTTTATATGGGCTGACTGCTGCTTGAGCCACTGTCACAAAAGTACATAAATTTTAATGTTGATTTCTGGAGACAGGGACTCTGGCAAGACATGATCTGCAAGTCAGACAGAGCTTTGCTCCTGTACAGGCTTCTTTGCTGTCTCCTTTTTTTCTGAAAGGAGTAGTGCTGAGCAGCTGCGCCTCTGCTTGCTATTAGCCAAAGCTATAAGCACTGAGTACCTGCCCAAACCAAGCCTAAGTGCGCTATCAAACTATCCGTCTTGTCCTATCAGAATAGGACAAGAGGAAATGGCTTCAAGTTGTGCTAGAGGAGGTTTGGGTTGGGATATTAGGAAAAATTGCTACATGGAAAGAGTGGTGAAACACTGGAATAGGCTGCCCAGGGAAGTGGTAGTCACCATCCCTGCCAGTATTTAAGAAACTTGTAGATGAGGCATTTAGGGACATGGGTTAGCAGGCATGGTGGTGATGGATTTACAGTTGGACTTGATCTTGAAGGCCTTTTCCAACCATAATGATTCCATGAATATAGCCTGGGAGTTGCAGGACTAACAGGTGCCAGGAGGATTTGAATGCAGCTAAAAGGAAGGTGACCTGACAGCTCAGTCAGATGTCAACCATGATAAGGACATGTGCTGAGCTTACCAACTGTTTCCTCACCTCCTGTCTCTCAATTACATTCCAAAAAAAAAAAAAAAAAAAAAANAAAGAAAAAAAGACATTAAAAAAAAAAAAAAGGAATTTAAATAGTGAAATATGAG